TACAAGTGAAAACAGAATCAACGGATAGTAACAACGAAACTACATCAATACTATGACTCATATAAGTGGTCGGCATACCACACGATCCCATAGTATATATTTATAAGTGGTCGGCGCGCCACACGATCCCATAGTATATATTTATAAGTGGTCGGCGCGCCACACGATCCCATAGTATACATTTATAAGTGGTCGGCATGCCACACGATCCCATTTCATAATTCATAAGTGGACGGCGTGCCTCACGATCCCATTTCATAATTCATAAGTGGACAACGTGCCACACGATCCCATTTCATAATTCATAAGTGGACGGCGTGCCACACGATCCCATTTCATAATTAATAATACATATAATCTTTCTAGAGGAGGCCCCAATAGGGGAATTCAACAACATAACGATTTAACCTGGCAAGGGTACAACTAACAGCCCAAATGTCCCGGCAAGGGAGAATACATAAAATGCTTAAATCCTGGCAAGGGAGAAACAACAATAATAGACTACGCGTCCCGGCAAGGGAATAATCACAACACTTCCTCTTTTAATCACTTCTTTCTCAATTATCAATTTCCAGTTCGAGCCAATGCTCCAATAATATACCAAACACATTTCTTCCTCAACCATTCACATTATATGAAACTTATCAATTAAACAAGGAAGATTAATCACAAAAGTCCGAGTCAACATAATTCGGACTCACGATCATGCTAGACTCCGGTGGATAGATAACCGTCACCATGCCTATGCACCGTACTCCACATTTAGCAGATAGCAAATAACATCCTAGTCCTATTTCCTCAAGCCAAAGTTAGATCAAACACTTACCTCGAATGCTCCAAACTCAACTCAAGCCTCTAGTATAGCTTTACCCCTCGAATTCGGCTCCAACTCGGGCAAATCTATGAAATAACGACTTTACAATATTAATAATAGCTAAACAAACTAAACCCAGTGCCTCAATATGAATTTCTAAGATTTCTTCCCAAAATTCCAAAAATCGACCCCGGGCCCGCTTGGTCAAAACACGAGGTTCGAACCAATTCCATGTTACCCATTCCCCCACGAGCCTGGATATACAATTTGTTTTAAAATTCGATCCCAAAACGAGGTCTAAATTAAAGAAAATCGAAAAGCCCTAACTCTACCCTTTTCCCCCAATTTCAACCCTAGATTACATGATTTAGGTTTAGAAACTCATTAATTAATGAAGGAAGATGAAGGAAATGAGTGGGAATTTACTTACCCAAGAAGCTTTGGTGAAGAAGTGCTCAAAAATTCGCTCAAGAGCTGTGGAGAAGAAGGACTCGTGTGAAATATGGACTAAATCCCATCACTGTTCTGTTTTGGGGTATTTAAAATCACTGGGCAAAAATGCCCTATGCGATCGCGGAAGAAGGCTTGCGATCGCATAGGGTCAGGAAATTTGACTACTGCGATCGCATGAAGACTACTGAAAACGCATATAAGAAACAGACCCCATTCCAGATTTTTGGCTTTTATACTATGCGATCGCGAGGAAGTAATGCGATCGCATTGAACAAACGGGGTACCTGGAATTTTAACCCTACGCGATCGCAGGGAAGCCTATGCGATCGCATAGCACTGGATAGCAGCATACCGGAACTGAAAACTTCTGCAACTATTTTAAGTTCTAAAACAATCCGACACACCTCCGAAACACTCCCGAGCCCTCGGGGCTCCTAACCAAACACACACACTAACTCAAAAACACCCTACGAACTTAACCATGCGATCAAATCGCCAACATAACATCAAAAACGAGGAATCAAAACCTTAAAATCATCACTTTTTCATCAAACTTCATAAATTTTTATTTTTAGATATTTAGGTCCGAAACACGTCAAATGACGTCCGATTTCAACCAAATTTCACAAAAAGCGCTTTAACCACATATAAGACCTGTACCGGGTGCCGGAACCAAAATACGGGCCCGATACCAACACGTTCTAATCAATTCCCTTTTGAAATTTCCATATTAATTTCTGAAAAACAATATCACAGAAAAATTCATTTCTCGGGCTCTCGACCTCGGAATTCAACTCCGGGCATATGCCCGAGTCTCATATTTTTCTACGGACCCTCCGGGACCGTCAAATCACGGGTCCAGGTCCGTTTACTCAAAATGTTGACCAAAGTCAACTTTAATTATATTAATATCAAAATTCATCGATTTTTATGCAGAATTCACATGTTTTAACATAAAAGCTTTCCGGCTATGCGCCCGGACTGCGCACGCAAATCGAGGCAACTAAAAGTGAGGTTTTCAAGGCCTCGGAAGCATGGAACGAATGAGGAAACAGGTGATGACCCTTTGGGTCGTCACATCCTCTACCTCTAAAACAACCGTTCGTCCTCGAATGGACA